AAAAAGTTGAGTCTTCATAGAGCTTATATTATAATCCTTTCTTATCTAAGCAAGAGAGGTGGATAAACTATTGCTTGAAGGGTGACCGAGATGACATGGTACTTCATTCAAATGGAAGATGAATGTGAAAATAAAGTCCCGCATCAATCAGATGTGCTTGTGGTAGATGATGAACTTATAAGGTATCGTACTATTCCACCTAGTTGGTTAACCATCTAGATGAAACCCAATTTCCTAGCCACTCCACTTACAAGTTTATTTTAATGGAATGACTTTTATGCCCTTAATCCCAAATGACCTTTTTGACCGTTCTCTTCAATATCAATATAAGAAAGTTTGTACAATATTCAAATAAATTTCAAACAAAACACATTTAAGTGGTAATCGTTCAATATAATTAATACAATACATTACATTAGTACACAATAGTTGCTTTTTTGCCTACTGGATAAACATATATAGGATCCTCATCCATAAAGAAGAGGTGATAATCTTGGAGTGAAGACAACTTCAAGTGGAGTAGCTTTAGGGTTGGTGAGACCAAAGATCCCAGTCATATCAACTGCTTCATCTGATGGAGTACTAATATCAAAACCATGCAAAAGACTAGCCAGAGTAAAAGTAACAATTTGAAGGGCAAAGCCTATTCCGGGACACATTCTTCTGCCACTACCAAATGGAAGAAACTCAAAATGTTGTCCTCTAACATCCAACTCCTTGTGAGTAGTAATGAATCTTTCCGGTCGAAACTCCAAAGGGTTAGGCCACACAACAGGGTCGCGATGAATTTTCCACAGGTTTACATAAAGGTGTGTGGATTTCGGGATGTGGTATCCACCTACTATGCAGTCTTTTAGAGATTCTCGCGGTGGAGGTGTCTGTGCTGGAGGGTATAGGCGTAATGTTTCCTTGATTATGGCTTGAATGTATATTAAGTTGTTAACGTCTGATTCTTGAACTTGCCTTCCTCTACTAACATGAAGGTCTAATTCTTCTTGGGCCTTTCTAAGAGTGTGGCGATTGTTGAGTAGTAAGGATAGAGTCCATGTAAGAGTTACTGACATTGTATCAGTTCCTGCTAGCATCATTGTCTGCAAAGTAAATGAGACATGTTTGGCTATGCTTCAAAATTTACTCAAAAGTAAAATATTGATTTTCTTGATCTGGGAAACAAGTTTACCTGACATGTTGCTTTGATTATTGTATCAGCATCAAACTCTGGGAACTCGACAGCAACAGAATCGATAACACGAAGCAACTCGCCCATGAAGTCCATTTGTTCATTATTTGCACCATTAATAGCTGAATTCTTTTTCCTTTTATGATCCTCTAGCCATGTTTGTAACAAACTGTCCATGGCTTTAGCTGTCTTCTTCATATCATTTTCTAGTCCCTCGAAGTCCAACCACTTCAAAAATGGTCGCACATCAGATAAAGTAAACCTTCCTATCTTCTGGAAGAATTCTCTTATTTCCTTTTGCCACTTATCCCTTTCAAACAAATCAATTTTTTTTTCTATATTCCCTGCTATTATTCTAACCATCAAGTTCAGAGTCAGCTCCCCAAAATAGTTCTTCATATCTATAGGCATCCCATATGAAACATAGACTGAACTTATCATTGCCTTCACCTCAGACTCATACACATCTCTAAGTTTCGCAACCCTTTGACTGGAAAGCAGCTTCAGCATAGAAATCTTACGCAAATCGCGCCAGTAAGGACCATACTCGTTGAAGGGAAACATGGCTAAATTGTAGCTCATGTGATGAAGTGCTACAGTTTTCGGCCGGTTAGAGAAGGTAACATCATTTGTAGTAAAGCATTCTTTTGCTAGTTCCATACTGCTCACAATCACGAGTCTGTGCCGACCTAGCCGAAGACTGAAAATGGGACCATATTTATCTGCTAGTTTTCCCAGGGTTATATGTAGTAGTTGGGGACCTCTTAAAAGATGGAAGTGGCCTAATATGGGCCAACCACCGGCAGCTTCTGGGGGTAACTTTCTCCTATTTATTCGGTTGCTACTGGTTCGAATTTTCGCTACAGAGTAGAAATATATGCAAAGTGTTATTACTCCGGCCAAGAAAGCTTCAATTAGTGATGGAAACAATTCCATAGTTTTCTGTTGAAAATGAAAATCGAACTAGAATGAAGATTAGGCCATATAAATTTCTTTTATAGACGAATGTGATACCTATGTTCGTTATAGAAATATAGATAAGATTAAGATCTATCACCTGTGTTCTTATTCCTTCTGAATAAAATCTACTAGAGAACTCTTTTGTTTCGCAACTGATAAGCATGGACATCTATAAATAGAATAAGTGACGGATAGATCTCAAACGTAACCAAATTAATGAGCAAGGCTACTAACTGATGTGCAACAAGATTATCCATCGGAAATTGGATGAGATTTCGTCGCCACTTCGTTTTTTCTAAAACAAATTGCGTCACCAATTTCCCCCTGGATAGTTCATCCTGAAATTTCAGAAACCGCACTTGCGTGCAAACAAGATGCGACAGTTGACTTTGTTCATATTCGTTTTACAAGCCATGAAAAATTTAAAATAGCTTTTCCCTTATCTAATACATAATTACAATTTTTAAAGTCATCTTGCTATGTGGATCACTACATCCACGTCACAAGTTAATTGGTCTAAAGAGATTGAAGAGAATTGTGCTAGTTTGGGACTATATTGGACCATAGATTAAATTCAATGATCGGATTTAATCTTGTGGTCAATTCTTATTTTCTAGTCATGTCACATTCACTCTTGATCATAGTACAATATTCGAATTTGAATTCAAATGATTTTGGCTCTATAATTACAAGACTCCTTCACTATTTTTATTTGGACTTGGCATAATAAAAGAGAGAAAGTATAGAGAGATAATTAAGTGGGAAAAATTCATATTTCCGGCAGAATTCTTGGTGGCTTCTGGGCGGATCCTTTTCTTAGTATATCCATTGTCATTTCCATGGACGTCGATGTATGATCTGATGTGACACAAATTTGAGTTCAACATCATAGGACACTCCATTGGTGGTGTTGAAGAAGCTTTGAATCGATTGGTTTGCTTTTTTACACTTTGAGAGTTTATGTTTGCACATTATAGTTGTAATAATCATTTATAAACTACATTTTAAACTCTACACAACTTTATATTTTTAATCCTATTATGATGTAATAATGACCCGATGTTTATATTGAGATTGAATCTTGGGCTCTAAATTGAGATTGAAATGAATCCAAATGATTTTGTATTACTACGGTAAGCAATTATATAAATTGAGATTGAGAGAATCTTGTTCATATATAAAAAGATGTATATAATGTTAAAAGTTTGTAAGTGTTCACATTATATATTTAATTTTAAAATAAAAAATATATATA